CCCTGATTGGCTAGGGCTTCAATGACCGCTTCAGTCTCAACAGAGTCAAAGGCTTTCTTTAAATCAATGAACTTTAGACAGAGCGGCATCTTGAACTCCAGAGAAACCTCAATGAGTTTGGTTATCATGTGGATATGGTCAATCATGCTGAATCCTTTTCAGAACCCTGCTTGCTCGCATGGTTGTCCTTCATCTATTGTTCTGCCAATCCTATTCAGGATGACTAGAGTGAACAGCTTGTAGATGACAGACAATAGGCAGATTGGGCAATAGTTGCCAATGTCGTGGATGTCTCCCTTCTTGTACAGTAGTACAGTCCTGCTGGTTTTCCACTGGGAAGGAACCTTGCATTCAGATGGGCAGCATGTGAAGAGCCGAGCCATTATATTGATGAGTACTGACAGCAGGTTCTTCAGGTGTTCAGGTCTGACCTTGTCTGGGCTGGGTGCTGTTCATTTCTTTCTTTCTTTTTTTTTTTTTTGTAGGAGTATTGCTATTTATTCAGCCTCTGATTAGCTGATTGAATTGGGCATGAACACCTGCTCAAGCGGGCCCAGTAACGTCTCCATTGGAGACTTTGTTGTTACTGTGTTTGGCATATCAAATACATCACGGGGAGCTTGCCAGGCTCTGCTGTGCGGGCGAGATACTCTCGGTAGCTTGCCGGGCTCTCCTTTAAATTTTATTTATTTATTTTTCTTTTTATATTTATTTATTGAATCACTGTGAGAAAAGTTACTAAGCTTTCAGGTTTAAGTCTCGGTCATACAATGATCAAACACCTTTCCCTTCACCAGTACTCATTTTTCACCACCAAGAACCCCAGTATACCCCCCCTCCCACCTCTCCAAATGCCTGTGAGGCAGATGATTTTTACTTAACTCCTCTACATTGATTGATTATATTCATTATTTCAAAAAAAGATGCACCATTATTGTTTAGAATTCCCCCCCCCCCGACAATCAGAATTGCTTAAAAGTCATTGTGAAATATTTTGTTTTCTATAGCTGGTTATGAGAATCATATAATGTCACGTGGCCACGATTTTGGATTTCTGCAAAGAGCCAGATAATTATGAGATTGGTTTCTGTGTGTCTGGTGTTATGGCCGTGCCGGAGAGCCGCTCGTGGGGGGTAACTCGTGACCTCCGTAGGGCGTGAAGGACATGCTGGTACCGCCCCCCCTTCCCATGAGACTGCAGTTGCCCTGTCACCGCTGGCTCTTACCTGTCTTTCCTATAAGCTCTGAGGCGGCAGTCACCTTGCTGCCAGGGGGAAAAAAGACGAAAGGGAGCAACACCCTTTCCCTCCCGGGGAGGCATGGCGCCATAGTTTAACGCATGGTCCATTCACTTTTCTGCCGTAAGCTGCCGGGTTCTGGATTTAGTCCTTTTGCCTCTGGAGCCATGGCCATTCCAGAGAGCCGCTTGTGGGGGGCGACTCATGACCTTGATAGGGCGTGAAAGATGAGCCAGTACCGCCCCCCTTCCCATGAGACTGCAGTTGCCCTGTCACCGCCAGCTCATACCTGGCTTTCCAATAAGCTCTGAGCCGGCGGCCACCTTGTATGCAGTCCAGATGCATTTCTGCTAAAAGCCACTGGGTTTCAAGATTTGTTTCTGAGTCTCCGGTATCATGGCCATTAATCAGCTTGATCAGGAGCCAGAGAGGCCGTTTGTAGGCAGCGACTCGGGGTCTCATTGGGATGGGGAGAAAGAGTCGGCTCCACCCCCATGTGGTGAGGCCCTGTGTGTCTCGTCACTGCAGGCCCAAACCTGTATGTCCAGTGGCCTCTGGAGGATGGTGGTCAAGTCACAAAACCTATTCCCACCTGGAGTGGCCCAGCGCCAGTAACCTACTGCAGGAACAGGAAGCATTTCTGCCAAAAGCCTTTGGGTTCCGAGATTCGCTTCTGAGTCTCTGGGATCATGGCCATTAAGCAGTTTGATCAGGAACCAGAGAGGCCATGCCTCCAATTATATAGCTGAGCCAGAGGTGGTTTGTGGGTGTGTCTCCCACATACCTAACTTTTGGCCATTTACTTTCTTGGTAAACTTTGTCCCAAGTTTTTGGGGTCTGGCCAAAGGCACAGCAGCAATTTTGGGGTATCTGAAAGTCTGACAGTGCCATCAGGCTGCTGATGCACTCACCTCACAGGTACAGATTGACCTGCTGGCGGCACCATACCCCCACTGTTCATTTCTTTACCAACGAAATGGCGTGTTGGATTTCGGATTTCCGGAGAACATTGGGAATTACATATCCATCCTGCGGAATTTGGTATGTCGGCAGGTGAACATGGCTATCGAGAAGAGATCTGAGTAGAAGTCATGGATAATCTTCTCCATTGCCCTTCTGGAAGATGTGATAGATCCATCAGGACATCGGCAGGCACAGTCATCTTGGTCTTGTAGTTGACGAAGGAACAGGCGGGCGTTACGAATGCTTTTCTCGGCTTCTACCGCATCTACCAGCACTTCTGCTCTTCTCTCTTTGAGGTCTTCCTTGATTGCATCTCTGCACTGCTTTGCGACCTTGGACGTTCGCTTGCAGTTGCCTGAGGCATGCGCCAAACCATGTTGGTGAATAAGCTCAAGAGTTTTTCAAGATAGGCGTTTTTTTGTGGCTATCTCTCTCGGCATTCCTTGCACAATCATGGAGGTGCTGAACCAGTCAATCGTATTCTTCATCAATGTTGTCAACAACGGCATCTTCCCATGTTGCAGCATTAGTGCCAAAGAGCTCCCAGTTGGTGGTCGTTCTGGGAGTTCTCTTCTTAAACTTTACAGCCCTTTTTGCCCGCTCTGTGAAGTAGAATTTTGCACGAAGGAGACGGTGGTCTGATCCCCTTTGGAATTTTGGGACAACAGCGATATCGGTCAGGCAAAATTGTCGATTGAATATGATGTGGTCTATTTCGTTGTGGAATCGTCCACTGGGAGACTCCCATGTCCAACGTTTAGATTCAGCCTTCTGGAACTGTGAGTTACCATGAATGGTCTTGGTCGACATGATGAACTCAGACAGTCTCTCACCCTGTTTGTTCCATTCTAGGCCATGGGTCCCGATGTGGAGTTCTTCAGCTGATCTTCTCGGTCCTATCTTGGCATTAAAATCACTGACACTGATCTTGTAGAAGGCGTGGTCTTCTTTATAGAACTTCTCCAGCTCCATGTAGAACTTCTCAATTTCTCCTTCATCATAATTGGATGTTGATGCGTAGACAACAAAGATAGAAACTGCCGGCAGTGAGCCACATCTATTCAAGTGTAAACATCTGATTTGGGTCATTAGGCATTCGAATGAATCAATGCTCATGGCCAAGTTCGTGTTGACAAGGACACCGATGCCTTCGATGCCTCTTTTATCGCATGAGACCCAGGGATTGAATTGCGCACAGAAGACCCACCCTACTTGTACCGGTACCAGATAAATACCTCACCGGCAGACCTCCATTACCTCCACTACCTCCACTACCTAGCTGCCGCCATGCTCCAGGATGCTTTCTGGACTGCGCGGCCACAAAGTGGCCACACAACACATTATAAGACACTTAATACCCATCTTCCAGAATTGCCACACCATATTTGATATGGTTCAAATATGGTTTGAACCATGGGGACACCTACAAGGGCGATTAGAGGCCACCCCAAATGCCTCTATCCCTCTCGGAGAGCCTGGTAAGCTACCGAGAGTATTCTGCCTGCATGGGAGAGTCTCTCAAGCTATCCATTGTGTATTCGATATGCCAAAACCAGTAATTACAATGGGTCTCATTTCCCTGACCCTGAAGGCGTCACCAATATGGCAGCCTTGAGAAGGATGAGGAAGGAGAGGCTGATAAAATCTCAAGGCCAAACTAGGCTCCCAAAACGAAGGAAGACAAAAATGATTGTACTTTCAGTGCATGTATGCTAGCATCAGATGCATCCATCGAGGACCTGATGGTACAAGCGTGAAAGATCAAGTACGACATCATTGGTCTGACCAATAAGAGAAGGCATCAATCACATCATGCCGTTTTCAACACTGGAGAAGAATTGTTCCTTGGAACATGCGATAAAAGAGGCGTTGGAGGCTTTACTATGTTAAAAAACAAAACAAAACAAAAACCAAAAAACAACTTAAATTTTTTCTGTGAACTGAAGTTTTTAAAAAGTAAAACGTTCTTTTCTGGAGGATTCCTACCTGGAAGAACTTGGGGGCTTCCCAGCATGGTGTTTGCCAGGGAGCTGTGAGCTGCCAGTGATCAAACTCGGGTATCCCTTTGCATCATTTCTCTGGCTCCTAATGTATAAATTTCATCAAAATGTGACTTTCTTTGGGCTAGAGAGTTACTATAGAAGTTAAGGTGCTTACCTTGTTGCTGAACCTGGTTTGATCCCAGCACCAAATATAGTTCCCTGAGCACTGCCAGGGGTAACCTCTGAGCACAGGAATAGTTCCTGAGGGACACTGGGTGTGGTACCGCCCTCAAGCCCACCCCTGACATACACACAAAGTGTGAAGTTTTTAAAAGTCAAACATACCTGTTTTCTTTTACTTATGAGTCATCTTTACAGACATTATTTTTTTTTATTATTAATGAAACACCATGAGGTACAGTTGTTGACCTTACAAGTTTTTGTACGTGGGTTTCAGTTATACAATGATCGAGTTTCCATCCCTCTACCAGTGCCCATTCTCCACCAATGATCCTAGTAACCCTCCCATCCTTCCCCTACCCCCATCCCATCCCGCATCTGTGGCAGGGCATTCCCCTTTGTTCTCTCTCTCCTTTTGTTTGCTGAGGTTTGCAAAAGCGTCATTGAGTGGCAAACATGTTCGGTACAGACCTTATTTTTAATAGCTTACATACCTGCATTTGGATCATTGAATGTGGCTTATGTTGTCCCTTTTCCTGTATAAGTGACTCCATCATGACTCATGTTTGTTTCCCAAATACTGATCATGGGGAAGAAGTTGGGGTCCTCACTGACTCTGTGCTACTTCCCATTGCAGAGATCAACTGCGGCCCTCCTCCTGAAGTGCAGCATGCATTCCTGGTGGAGAATCACAGCTCCGGCCTAGGTGGTGTGGCTCATTACATGTGCCAGGAGGGCTTCAACAGCCTGGAAGGACCCATCACTTCCGTCTGCACAGAGAAAGGCACCTGGAGTGAAAGTACTGTGACTTGCACAGGTATAGGCTCCATTGCTTGAGGTTCTCTTTACGAGGCAGAGTGTGGGACGTACAACCATTCAGGTGCTATGTCCTCTCTCCCTGCTGTCCCTGGCTGTGCAGCTCAGCCAGGTGGGTGTGTGGCTTTAGTTCTGTCAGCCAGCTAAATCCTGAAGATCTGGAAGATGAATTGGGAACATAACTTGGATGGAAAATTTTCTGCGTTCGATTTTTAAAACTCCCGTTAAATCACAGTGATTCCTGTCTCTTCTGCTTGGCTGGCAGAGAAATTTTTCTACATGAACCATTTTCCAGGCGGCCATACTTTAATGTTCTGGCTTAGCACATGTTGACAGTTTTATAGGTAAAAGGTATTATAATGAAAGAGGTAAAGGTAAAGGTAAAGGCCCTCCCGTTGATCGTCGATTTGCTCGAGCGGGCCCAGTAACGTCTCCATTGGAGACTGTGTTGTTACTGTGTCTGGCATATCGAATACTCTCGGTAGCTTGCCGGGCTCTCCGAGAGGGGCGGAGGAATCGAACTCGGGTCGGCCATGTTGGCCACTTGTAAGGCGAACGCCCTACCCGCTGTGCTATCGCTCCAGCCCATAATGAAAGAGAGTTTTTTTAAACTGTTTTAAAAATTATGGCAAAATACACATAGCATAGCATTTAGCATTTTAATCATCTTTAACTGTTAAGGTATTCACATGATTGTGTAATCTTCAGAACTTCGTCATCTTGAAAAACTGGAACTCTGTACTCATAACAACTGTGCCTTCCTATCCCCACCTTAACTCTAGCCCCTGGAACTATAATCTACTTCCTGTTACTATGAGTTTGACACACTTAGAAAACTCTTCAAAGTGAAATCATGCATCATTGTCCCTCTGTGAAGGGCTTATTTCACTTAGCATAATGAACTACAAGATAATCCATATTGTTCCAAATGGCAGGGTTTTAATATTTAGGGATGAGTAATATTCCTCTTATGAATATATCATATTTTGTTTATTCAGCCAGTGATTGGCACTTAGGTTATTTCCACCTTTTAACAATTGTGAAGAATACTTCATGGACATGAGAACACAAATACCTCCTTGAGATCTTGCTTTTAGTTTTTTTGGATCTAGATCCCAAAATGAAATTATTGGTGAGTAGGAGTTTTGAGTTCAATGTTACGTACTAATAACTATGTCATTACATAAAAAAATTATTCTGAGTGTTTCTCATCCATAAAAAGAATTAAAGTCTGTTTTTTTTTCTTCAAAGAGAGAATACTATGAAATAGTTATCTATGGGAACATTTTGAAAAGTTTACAGCACTATACCCATTTTACCTAAATTTCACCCATTTTAACCATTTTAGCCATCTTCCTCAAATAATTAACCTTGGCTGAGGAAAATCCCATGAATCAGAAGTAAAACTTCCATATACTTCATTTCACTCATCTGCCTCCAAGAAACAAGGTGGTTAAAAAAAAAGGACTAAATATTTGTGGGTGTGTGACAAGTAACTGTTACATAGTCTTGAATAACTCTGGAAATCTGTTTCTAGTGGTTGACTTGCGTGGCTCTGAAGACGCACCTGCGGGAGTGGTATCTGAAGAACCTGAAGGGAGCTTTGACTCGAAGGGTCTCTGGCTAGACTTGCAGTAAAGTTATGACAGCATGTCTTGGCCTCCCCACAGTTTTTCATAGGAATGTCTGGCCTGAACAAGCAAAACACGTTTGCTTCTGGTGATGATTTTCCATAGAGCAGTGGTTCATAACTATTTTGGACATAGGAATTGGATGAATTCAGCTCATTCGATCAACTCATTTGATAGCTCTTTCACATATACTATGTGTGAGGTATTTGATAAATGCTATCTTCCTGGAATTTGTCGCCAAGAGGGTAAACAGACCTTTCTCCAAGGAAATTCACACACACACACACACACACACACACACACACACACACACACAGAGTTTTACAAATTCGTGATATTTATGATTCTCTGAAGTCCTCTAGTAAGGCATTTCTGGAACAGGTGGAGAACTGAGGCTTTGCTGGGCCATGCAGTTCCCACCTTCACTCATCTCTAATGTGCATCCCTGAGGATGTCAGCTAGAGTCCAGTCAGAAAATGAAGGGTAGACATGGACGAGAACCCAAGATCCAGAACAACCTTCTCTCCCACCTCATTGACTTGCCCACCTTACACTGAGCAGCACAGACAGGTCTGTAACAGACAGATCTATAACTAGAGTCAGGGATTCCACAGTCCCAGTCTTAATAACTGTGAAACCGAGAAGAGTCCCCTATTGTTCTAGACTCAATCATCCCAGCCCCTTCTTGCATCTCTAACTGAGCCACTCTGAGTCATCTGTGGAAGTGAGGCAGCTGCATCTCAGGATGCTGAATTCAACATGCAAGTGTTACTGGCCTCATGCTACCTGTGGAATCAGTTGGTACAAGAGCTGGGCATAGCTTCTGGACCCCAGGCCATTTAATTCATTGCTCAAGCCTCTCTGCCTGCAGCATTCTGAATTCATGGGGTACAAGGATTAGTCACTACATGAAAAACCAGTGGGTCTGCATGGGGCATAGTAAGCTATTAATTAGCTGATGCTTGTAGAGCACTTTGAAGAACAAACATGTTATGTAACTGCTAATTATAATTACCGTCCTCAGCCTGCCACCTTTCACAGAGTCTGCAGCCCCAGCTGCAGCTGTTGCCATGGGTCTGAGCAGGCTTTGATTTAAGGAGAGAAAAGGCATTCTCCCCAAGAGCTGTGATCTCTCTGCAGAGGCCTCTGTGCCCTCAATCAAGATTGGCAGCTAAATTCAATTTCCGCAGATAAAGGGGGTGATTTACATGCTGATTAATTCATGGTGCGGAGCACACGATCTCTGGGTGGGTAGGTAGGCGAGGCTTCTGGAAATGTGAGATTGGCTCTGGCTTCTCCTTGCCCCTTCCTGCGTTTCTTCCACCCCCCCACCTCCATTTTTTCCCCCCTCAAGTCTCTTTTCTTGCCCCAGCTCCCTCTGTGTGTGTGTGTGACATTTTTCTTCCTTGACGCTCACTTCCCGCTTTTGCCTTCACCCCTTCACCTTCTCCTTTTCTACCTCAGCTCTGAACGTCCTCTACCTCTGCTCTCTGTTTTCACTACACCTAGCCCATTTTCTAATACTCCAAACTGGAGTTTAGCTCCTAACTGGGTGGACTCATTTATCTTCATTGGGATCATTTTTCAGTTATCTTGAAAATATCGTTTGGAGCCCTTGTTTCTCTGTTAGTAGCACCGATCTGTATGTGTTACTAATGGAGTGTGAACTTTGGCACGGTGCTGGGATGCTTTTTTTTTTTTTAAAGGCCAGTTTGGACTGGAAACTGCAGACAGCTGAGAATTAGGCAACCACTTTAGTGTCTGGAAAAACCCCAGGTGGAAGCTTGATGTTTCGTGAGTTGGTTCACCTCAAGATCAAAGTAGCTGATTCATTCTTGATAAGATGGTTTCTGGCTTTCATTTTGCACAGGTCATTTGACCTTTTTATGTTTAAAATCTGAGTTAATAATTAAAGGTTGATGCTTACTCCCTGCGTGCTCTTAGGGTAACATCTCTGTGGGACCTCAGGCCGTCTCTGGGCTGGATGGTTCTCTGAGCCCCCCGCGCTGTCTCGGATGCTGAGTTTGTCTGCCGTCAGGCCCGCTGTTCCTCTCTACCCGCTGGCTTTGTTGCTGGCCCTCCTCATCAGCCCAGTGGGTGGTGACATACCACCAGACACATTTCAGATGAGAAAGAAGGGTCAGCTGAATGCAGGGACATAATGTATAAATACCTGTGTGCCTGAAATTTGTTCAAAACTGTGTTTGAATTTGGGCTTCGAGCATTATAGAGCTTCTTACTCTTGAGCACTGGCTTACTCGTCTGGGTTTTTTTTTTAGGGGGGCTGGGCAGCTTGGGCCACGCCCAGTGGCTTCCTCCTGGTTCTGTGCTCTGGGCCACTCCTGGTGGTGCTTGGGGGGAACAGAAGTGGAGTCGGGGATTGAACCTGTCTTGGCTGCATACCCTCGAGAGTGCCTTAGCTGCTGTGTTCTCTCTGGCCCCCTTGCGAAGTTCTTAATGCTCATTTCCTGTTGTTTTTAGAAAATCCTGTGAAGGGAGTATTGTTATTTTCATTTTATAGATGAGTAATCGGAGACTCATAGAAGTGAAGTAACTTTCTCTGGATCTCACAGTGACTAGCAAGTGGGAGAGGTCGGGTTTGAGCAGACATAAGCCCGAAAACCTACAGTCAGTCTCCTCGTGCCAGGCTTTGAATTATTTATATGCCACCCCAAAGGTGTTCACTGCCCTGCCATAAAAGTTTTCTTTGTTTTACAAGTTTCTTTCAGCAACTGATGTTTAAAAGTTAATTTTATAATTAAAAAATTTTCAATCAAAGGCATTTTGAAATATATAAAATGATGAGTTTATTATAGTTCTGTTTCTCCCCCCCCCCCCCTCCCTTAATATAGACTAGCCAGGGCAGTGGCTCAAGTGGGCAAACACATACTTTATGTGTTCAAGTCCCTGGAACCCCATGGCCTCCTGAGGGTCTCGGGGTAGTCCAGGGCCCCTGAGTACCACCACGTATGGTCCCCACAACAATGAAAAACTTTAGTACAAAGCCAATATGAAAATTCATTTGACTCCAAAAATCCTTGTAAAGGGTATAATGCATTTTAGAAATACAAATTTTATTCCCGTTGAGGTAATGTTAATTTCCATGACCTCTTCAAGATGCATTGCCACACCACAGCCATCACCAAAGTACCCATATTCCTCTACCACAGTTCCTGGAAAAGCGCCCCACCTTTGAAGTCCTCTCCCCACCTCCCTCTGGTCACCTCAGTTCTGTAGTCTGAGGGTCTGGGAGTGTTTTTATTTGGTTTTATCTGTTCCTTTGAGGAAAGCATAATTTTATTATTTTATTTTTTTTATTGTTTCTTTTAACAAGATCTGAATATCTTAATGAATCACAAGTCTGTATTGC